TGAACCATTATTTTAAATGGAAGAAGCCAGACACGAGGAGTCACATGCTATATGAGTCCATTTGTATGAATATGCAGAATAGGCAAGTCCATAAGGATAGACAGTAGTCTAGTGGTTGCAAGAGGTAGGGGTGGGGGAGATGGGAGAATGACTGCTAAATGGGTGTGGAGCTTCCTTTGGGGGTGACAAAAATGTTTTGGAAGTAGAAATGGTGATTGCATAAATGTACTAAATGCCAATAAACTATACACTTCAAAATGGTCAGCTTTATGAAATAAGAATTTTACCTCAACAGAAATGTAACACAGGACATGCAAATGGTCCATAAGCAAATGAAAAGGTGTTCAACTTAATTGATAATCACGAATGTGCTGATTAGGACTGCAGTAAGATTCTAATATGCACCCATCAGAAATGCAGAAATTGCATTTGGTGACAAGATCAAGGGCTGGGAAGAGCAGGCAGAAAGGGGGACTCTCCTGACCATTTATGGGGGACCCACCCCATGACCTAGGACTCTGCTCCTTGTCACAGAACAAGAATTTAATTCCACGTACATGTGCATGGAGAGCCACACTGCCGAAAACACTAACCCGAATGTGGCTGGGGAAAAAAGGATTAGACAATATTTGACATATTCACACAATGGAATACTGTATTAGACAACCATGGAAATGAACCAACTGCAGCCACACACAGCAACATGACTACATCTCAAAAACATAATATTCCATGAAGAAACCAGATACCGAAGAAAATATCCTGCATGCAAGAAGTTCAAAATCGAATAAAACAGAGCTTCAGAATTTAAGGAACCGTACCTCAGTAGTAAAGTTATTTGGAAAATGCAAGGAAGTGGTAACTATGAAAGTCAAGGTAATGCTTACCTCTGAGAGGAGGGAGGGAATGACTGCAGCGCAGAGGGGAACGGAGCTTGGGGGCTGGCCTATTCCTGACCTGGGGTACAGGGCCTCTGCTCCAGGATAAACTGCTGGGCTATCCTTTCAGCAGGCCCTCTACTGAGTGGGTGTGATATTTCATAATAAATCAGTTTGAATAACTTGCACGCTCAGCACTTTATTAGCAGGAAAAAATTATAACAATACCACCCCTGTCTCAGGAATAGCCACTTAGCTTTCCAAACAGCAGGTACTATGTTCTAATGACACTGTGAAATCAGAGTCAGGAAGGGGCAATGCTTCCTGCAGCCACTGACCCACCCCCCCATTAGGGCCACAAGGGCCACGAAAGGGACACCTCATTGACAGGAGTCTCGTTCAGAGTATGGGACTGGCTACAAGAGGGACACGATGAATACTGGGTAAGAAGTGCTGCAGGAAAACTGCATCACTGAGATTGCCTGAGAACTTGGCCTCCTCCATGAACTATGAGGAGCCCTTAGGCAGTTCTGTGTCCAACTCCTTTCTGTCCCTGCCCAGTCTGTATTTGTTGGAACTCAACTATGTGGAATAATTAAACCTCAAGCTACATAAACATTGTTTTTGTTTCCCAGTGTTTTAAACGAGGAGGAACACAGTTAATCTTACCTCCTCATTTTATAGATGGGAAAACTGAGGCTCAGAAAGGGGAAAGTGACTCACTTCAGTTCACAGAGGGAAGAAGTGGTAAAACGCACATTTCCCAGTGCTTAAAATATTTTTTGGTGGGGGCTGTGAGGAAGAATATCAAGAAGCTGACAAAGATCTGCTTTTCAACAGCTCCATTATCTGCAAATTATCATATGGCTGTGCTCCATGCCAACAAGGAGATCCTTGCTCAGGCCCACAGTGCCATCCCTGGAGAAACACGAGGGACAGTAAAGGTGGAGTCGTGGAGGTGCATGCAGGTGGACCTGGCTGGATCTCAGGACCTGTTTGTCCAGGGACGGGCAGCTTGTGAGCACCAAGCTGTGAGGCAGCTCTATGTCAGGCTGGCTAGTGACTCCACCAGGATGCCCTGCCTGATCTGGAGCCCTCGTGCCCTGGGAAAATGCATGCTTTTGTTTTCATAAACAGCTTTGCTGAAGTACAGCATACAGTCCATGAAATTCAACCAGTGTAGGTGTACAGTTAGATGAATTTTAGTAAATTTATAGTTGCACAGTCCAGCCCTAAAATATTCCCCAGAAAGTCCCCTCCCATTTGCAATCACTCCCTGCTTCTATCCCTGGCCCAAGCAACCACTGATGTGTTCTATTTCTGTAGTTTTGCCTTTTTAGAAATTTCATACAAACGAACTCTAAAAATGTATAATTTTCTGTGTCTGGCTTCTTTCACTTTGCTTATTGTTTTTAAAGTTTAACTATATTTGAGCATAGATCTGTATGTCATCTTTTTTTCTGGCTGAGTAGTATTTCACTGAAAAGATGTACCCCATTTTGTTTGTCCCTTCACCAGCAGATGAAGCAATGTGTTTCCATTTGGGCTGTCATGCAGAATGCTGCTATAAACATTCATGGAGGAGTTGTTGGGTGGATATATGCTTTTCTTTCACTTAAGTAGATATTTAGGAATGGAATCACTAGATTGTAGGGTAAGTGTATGTTTAGCTTTTAAGAAACTGCTACATTGTTAAGAATAATGCAACAAACTCAGAACTTACAGACCACCTGCCTCCAGGGTTTAGCACAGTGGTTACGAGCACAGATTCTGGCACCAGACCCTCTAACTCCAAACTGTAATTGCCTCTGGATAAATGACTTCGTGCCTCAGTTTCCTCATCAGTGAAAGAGGATAATAAATGGGGTGTTGTGAAGATAGAGGGTTAATTCACACAAAGGACTCAGAACACTGCTGCCTCACATCAGTGCTCTTTGGTCTTAGCGACTTTTTAGGCAGTTCAGCAGCAGCCTTGTGGGAGAAGCAGCATTGGTTATGGAGACCACAGACAGGTAGGTCTGAACTGGATCAACCCAGAACAGCTGTGTAGCTTCAGGCAATCACATGTCCTCTCCGAGCTTCCCCTGGGTAGTGGACCCAGGGACACAGTGGAGGGTAAGTGCTGCTCTGTAAACTGCACAGTGCCATGCAGATTCAATGGGCTCATGTTATGATCATGATGCATCACTTACAGGGCTCACTAGAGGCTTTGGGGCCCTAAAGCCCTTTCTATCTGCAAAGCACCTCTAACTGAATTCTAGAATGGTTAGCAGCAAGGATGCTGGAGTCAGACTACCTGGCTCAAATCCTACCCCAGGCCCTTAGGAGGCTTGTGACATGTGACCTCAGTTTGCTCATCTGAAAAACAGTGACAGTCACAGTCCTCAGTCCCCACCTCCTGGAGTGACGGGAAGGGTTGGATGAATGAAACAGGTTCACACTCCACCTGAACATACAAAGTGTTTTATAAGCGTTAGCCATATTAAACTGCACACAAACCGGATGGCTCACATTTCCAGAAACTCGTGTCAGATTCCTACAGGGGAGGTGAATACCCGGAGTTGTAAATGGCCCTCCTGAGGGTTTCCTGGCCCTCCCTTTTTATGTTATGGATGGGAACAGGACTTCCTAGAAACAGCCCAGAGCTAACATCAGGGCGCCAGGCTACAAACTCAGAAGAAAGAGAAACACTGAAGTTGCTTTCCTTAGACCTCTTCCTTTTGAGGCAGCAGGGGTGGCAGTAAAGTTCACAGAAGACCACAGAACCTGAAGCTGCCTCTGTAGCTGAGTTGGCAGTGCCCGATATACATACAACTGCAACTTTCCGCCATGGGCCATGGTGGTGAAAGGCCAAAACTATGCCCCAGCTGCCCTTTGATCTGCAAGAAATGCCAGACTGGACACTCTGGCAGGAAAAGCTTTGGCTGCGTTTGGGTCTTACTTCCCAGACGACAAGTCTGGGCGGTACCAGACTTCATCAAGCACGCCAAGAGTTAACCAAGGCCACCCACTCAGTCTCCAGCTTCCTTTGGGGGCCAGTGGCTGTTCCCCAGTCTTCCCATTCACTCCCTTCTTCGATTGAGGCTGTGTACTAATCTCTTAAATCCAAAAGGGGTCAGTGGGAGGCTGCTATTCAGAGAGCCTGGTTCTCCTGCAAGAGTGCATGGCTGGGCAAGGACAGGAGCCTAGGGCCCGGGGTTCAAGTTTTAGTTTTCAGACTGGCCACTTCCAAAGCCTCTCCCAATTTCAACATTGTGATATCCCACACTGCCTTCCACACATAGTTACTGCAAGGATCAAGTGGTGATTTCTATCTCTTACTTTGTGCCTAGTATGTGTCAGGAACATGGAAAGAAAATTAATTGTAATCTCTCTTTAATCTTCACAGCATCCTTCGGAGATAAGATAGTCTAATTATTCCCCTTTTTCAGATGAGGAAACTGAGGCACAGAGAGGTGAAATCCTTCGTCCAAATTTACACAGCCCAGTCAAATTCATAATCCACATTCAGACCTTACTAGAGACCTATTTTAACTCAGACATAGCTATTCAGCCAGCAGCCTCGGAGTCCTGGTGGGGAAACTGAGGCCCAGAGAATAGAAGAGACCAGATCCCCAGGCTCTGGGCCCACAACTCTTTCCATCCACCTATGGTGCGATTGCCCACAATGGACATGATCCCCTCAGTAACTCGGAGCTAAATTAGCACAGGAGCGATTCAGTTGTTATTCCTGGTGTGCCGAGTGGGCAGGTGTCCTGGCTGGTGGTCATGCTTCAGCACCTTTGTACCTCTAGGTCACCCGGCCTGCCCTTACCGAGCGCTGAGCAGAGTGCGCTTAGACCGTCGCTGCTGGCTGTCACTGTGCTTCCAAAGTCCCTCGCTACCCACAACTGGAGGCGCCGCGCCCCGCTCAGACACCTCGGCTGTACAGGGACCCCATTTGCAGCTGGAAGCCTTGCACTGCCCAGGGGAAGCCGCGAGCAGGACAGCCGAGCGCACGGAGCGGCGAGGACTCCCTTTTATGTCCAGGAATGAGGCGCGCATAGCAGCTGCGCCGCCACCCAAACCAACTTCCTCGGGGCGCGGAGCCTGCCGGTGCCACCCTGAGGCCCGGTCACTTACCTGTCGAGACGCGCGTCCGGGTGACAGCGGACAGGAGCGCAGAAATGGACAGCAGCAACCGCCGGCACCAGTTGCTCCTGCAAGAAGCGATAGAGGGAGAGCAGGTGAGGCGGGAGTCGGACGGGTCGGAGCGGACCGGGCGAGGGGAAGCGGGTCCCACCTTGGCGCCATCGCGCGGGTCTGCGGAGCCCTCGGAGGCGCGCGGAGGACGGGACACACCAGGCGGCTCCGCGGAGGACGAGGACCGCTGCGCACTGGCCGCCGCACTCGCCCTGCCTGCAGGGAACAAAGGCGGCGCTCGGCTGCGGCGGGATCCCGGCTAGGAGTTGCCAGCTTCCTGAAGCACCGCTCTCGGAAACCCGACTCCGCCTCGCCCAGTGCTCGGCCCGCGCGAGGAACCCCACCTTGGGCAGCAGCGGCGCACTCACGCCCGCCGGGATCCCGGCCGCGCCAGCGTCCCCACGCCCCTTTCCCCCGCTATGGATGCGCGCTCCACGCCGCTGCTTCCCCCGCCGGCCTTATGTAACACGCGAGGAAAGCCGGAGCGCGCCCCTCTGGGTAGTCCAGACGCAGCCCCACACCAAGTTTGTCCCTGTCCAGGCTTCCCTGCGGTCAGGCCACTCTCCTTTCACCTCAGTTGCCAGAGGCTGATTTCCTTACAGGACAGATCAAGAGATTGAGGCTCAGAGAGGGAAGTGAATATCCCAAGATCACACAGCCAGAATGCCCTCCTGACCCTTGACTGCCCAGGAACGACCACGTCCTTGCAGAACATAGGTGATACATATAACTAAGACCTCAAAGGCCATGTGAAGCCACTGGTGTTCTTGAGCAGTTTGGAATCCCAGATCATTTATTACAGACAGACTCCTAAGAAATCTAATCCAGCCATCCCTCTCCTATCCACATTTTATTGATGTTGAAACTGTGGCCCAGAGAGGGCACGCAGTTTGCCAAGTCATCCACTCAGTGAATGTCAAGAGAAGACTCACTAGAGAAGGAAGGACTGGAAAAGGTCTTCAAATGTTGCAGAGTTCACTTACAGTCAAAGGCTCCTTATAGGATAGTGAGTTCCCTCTCATTGAAGGAGTTATTAGAATTAGATTTTTTTTGTTGTTTTTGTTTTTGTTTTTGGTACCAGGGATCGAACTCCAGTCCTTGCACTTGCGTAGCAGACAGCGAAACCACTGAGCTAAATCCCCGGCCCTCATTGAAGGAGTTATTAGTTTGGGTTCTGGGGTCACACAGGATTGAATCCTAGCTCAGCTTTACATTCTGTGAAACATGGACACATCTGCAAAATGAGGATGAGAACCCTTCTGTCCTGGTGGGAAGACTTCAGGTGTTGTTGAAATAGGAAGCATTTATCAGAGTGCCCAGAGCAGGACAGTCAGTGCTTTTTGGATGTTAGCTTCTGTTGTTGATGCTCTTCTTATCATCAGGGCTGCAGCAGGGGAGGCCACACCTGGCAAAGCAAAGGCAGAACCCAAGACAAAGCTCTTAAAGATCTGACACACTGAGAACCAAGCAGCAGTACAGCTAGGATGGCTTCACACGGAGACAACACAAAAGACAAAGAACATTCTAACAAAATTATTCACTAAGGGTTTCTTTAAAATCTGTTCACTTTCTCTGTGAATGTGAATCCTCTCCCACTTGGAGTCACTGTGATGGGGATAATCTTATTTCATTATGAATCATCCATCATAGCAAATTGACTTTCTTGATCCTGTATTTCTCTATGCTTATAAAGTACCATGTCAACTGGGCATATAATTGACTTTATTTATTATTATTTTTTTTTATACCAGGGATCAAACTCGTGTCCTTGCTCTTGCCTGAACTAAATCCCCAGCCCATAATTGACTTCTTAGAGCTATATTTCTGTATTGCTTAGGAAAAGCTACATCAGCTGTGATGACATAGTTGATCTATGGTTCTTTCTGACAGCTAAAATCAGAGATTGTAAAATGGAAGCAAAGCTTTTGTAAATGGAAAGGAAAGAAGGATTGAAGGGAGGGGAGGGGAACGTGGAAAAAAGAAGAATCAAGATGTATCCTGTGCAGGTACAAATTCTCTATGATGAATGTGATCATTATCTATATCTAAAATGTTCCAATAAAATTAATTAATTAAAAAACAGAGATTGTGAACTGGTGGCCATCAGCTCAATGGAGCCTACAGACATATTTTTTTCACATTGCCAGGCATCAACCTCCAAACTGAATTGAATTAATTAGCAATAATTGATAATTAGGAAATTTGCATTAAAATCCAGATTTCTGAAAAAAATCCAGATTTCTGGGGTTTTTTTATGATGTTGGAAAACCTTGCACTGTGCCACTTGCATTCCTTAGTTGCCAACAATTGGCTGGTATTAGTTTGGCAGCTGCATTCAGGTTAGGCAATATTCTTCAGTTGGTCATAGTCCCCACAGCTCCCTACTGTTCTCAGCCACTAGGCTAAGAATCAATCTTCCATTTAGCAACACATTTGCACTCTTGTCTTTGCTTATAAGAAAGACAAAAATGGAATAGATGAAAGCGCATGTTCCTGTTTAAAATGAATAAACCAAAGATATATACCGAGAAGGTCATTCTTAAAGAAAATGGGGAATAACATTTTTCTACATGTTTAATATACAAATAAAGTGTATCTGCCTTGAAAAGCATGAAAACTAAGATGACATTATGAAACCAACCTGGCCTGCCTCACTTATGTCTGTTACCTGACGGATGAAGGCATAGCTGTGTTTTCATGACTGGGCTTGATGTTCAATTTATGAGTCCAAGATATACATGGATAGCGCAAAAGATTCCTTTATGACTCTAGCAGGGGAATTCTGTGTGCACATTTCATAGTTTGTTGGTTCTGTGTAAGTATCTGGCATTCAATTCACTAGAATCTAAAGATGAAAGTCCCTGCAGGTCATTTCTCCCCTACATGTGACTGGAAACTGATAAATGCCAATGTTGACTTTGTACCTTTTTCACCTGGGAAGCCAGACCACGTGCATAAACAAGAAAGGTTCTCATTTTGGAGTCTGGCCTGAAAGAGGGAATTATGACCTCTGTTTGGTGGAGGACGAGGGAGGGTCTCGGGCCTGGGCGCTGAAGAGGGGGGGAGGTGACAAATGGTCCCAGCTGTGAGTGTGGGAGAGATGGAGGCAGGAAATCAAGCCAGGCATTTCTCCTCCTGCCAGACAGTGTAGTGAGGGCTTAAGCGATTTCCTTCCATTCAATGTGAAGTAGAAATAGCCAAGAGGAAGCGTCATGTCATACCCAAGCTAGTCTAAATTGTTTACCATGGTTCAGTATGATCTGTAAGATTCAGCTGTGTGGAGACTAGGGATTTTATGTTCCAGCTCTTCCAGGACTGGACTAAATTAATAGGCTGTTCCGTGTTCCTATAATCCATGCAAACATTCCAGAAAACTCTACACTCAAAAGCGTTCCCCAGACTGTCTTAAGTAGCTGGGAGGGGCACAGAAATCTATGCCGAGAAATCTAAAACTTGATTTAGAGAAAAGTTACCAAGAATGTAGTGACATCATTCTGAACTTAAGTTTCTTCTGTACATGAGTATGATACTTGTGAAGTCCTGGTGAGAAAGTTCACAGGTGATTCCCAAAGCTTGCACCATCATGTGACTTAATGAGAAAAAATCAGAATAGACTTCCTAGCTGACTGGCAAAGAATTTACTGGAATAACAAAAGAAAATGGCTCCTTCCTGGGTAATTGAGGAAAAACAGTGACAATTTAAAACCATATCTTCGGGCTGGAGATTTAGCTCAGTGGTTTTGCCGCCGGCTGCGAGTTCGACCCCCTGGTACCAAAAAATAAAATAATAAAATAAAATAAAACCATAACTGACTTCCAAGAAGGACTCTTTCATTCTGATGAGCACCTTGATGTATTTGGAGGTGCAGAAGAGGACCATATGCTGAGAAAAAGTTAATTCATTCAGCACAACAGAGAATGATGCATCTGGAAATCTGACAATCCAAGTGGAAAAAAGGATACATCCATACTACACACACACACACACACACGCGTACATATGTACACACAAAACAGAAGAGAGGATGTATGAGACGTCTCTGATACACTACTGTCAGTATCCTGTCCTCTTTTGTCACTTATGTTCTTGGTGGCCATCTTCTGACACAGCACCTGTGTCACTACCTGAGCACATTCTATGGCCCCTAGGACCTGCTCTTCCCACAAGCAAAGCAGGTTACCACCCCATCCACAATCACACAGCAGCCCACAAGCAATGACTGGCAGAAACTGGTGTATAAAAACTTTAACTCCTTCATTCAACTGGTGGGAGCACAAAAGTGTCTCATTTCTCCACTCCCCTCCAGAGTTTCTTGGGAAAACTGACCCAATTAACTTCTCACAATGAAATCCTTGCCTCAGGCTCTGCTTCTGGAAGAATCCAAATTAAAATGCCATTTCAGATTCTGTTACCCTTTCCTTCTCCAGGGTCTTTGGCCACTTGTATTAGGCCCAGTTCCCTTCATGGTGACCAGCTAGATACCTGGACTCTCACTAATACTGGCAGGTAAGCTCACAGCCCTTGCCTTAACCCACACCACATATTGCCTTTTACCCAGGGCCTCCCTGCTGATGGGAATATGTAACAGGCTTACAGTCTGTTCAACATCCCAGCAAGCCAGCTGGAAGTGTGGTGCAAATTACACCTGGGGGCAATTTTTAGCCAGTAATTACATTTTCCTCACTCCTTCCTCCATATGCCAATGTTCCAAGAAAGTGTTTTCTAAGATATCTTGAAAGATGGTCTCCCAATGAGAAATCAGTCATATCTAATGTTTCTTATAGGCTCTCCTTCCTTCCCTGCTTCGCTCCCCTTTTCTTTCCTTCCATCCCCTAGGATTGCCTTCCCCAGTACAACACAGGCACATAAAGCCTCGCCTCTGATGCCATGGCCTGCATAGGCGAAGACAAAAGATGCTGGAGTTTATCTGCCACACTCAGACACACTCACGCATGCATCTCTACATAGAAGACCCAAAAAACTCTGCCAAAAGACTTCTAGACTTAACTGACAGATTCAGTAGAGTAGTGGATACAAGGTCAACACTCAAAAATCAATAGCCTTCTTGTACACAGATAACAGATTCACTGAGAGAGAAATTAGGGAAATAATTCTTTTCATAATAGCATCCAAAAAAATGAAATATCTAGGAATCAATCTAATGAAGGAAGCAAAAGACCTCTACATTGAAAACTACAGCACTCTAAATAAAAGAGATAGAAGAGGATATAAGAAAATAGCAAAAATGGCCATACTTCCAAAACTGTTATATAGATTTAATGCAATCCTAATTGAAATCCCAACAGTATATTTCACAGAACTAGACCTAGAATACCAAAAGCAATTCTAGGCAACAGAGACATGGCAGGGGGTGTCACAATCCCCAACTT